CAGAGACATAAGTCGTCCTAGTTCCTAACTTGATAAGTTACAACATATAGACTAATTTGGTACAATGTTATCCTGAACATACCTATATATCTTAACATCATCAGTAATAAATTTAGAAACACCCAACCAATAACGTAAGTAGGAAAAAGCTAAAGGAAGCTTACGTTGGCAGATTAACGCGGAAGCGGACATACTGAACTCCATGATATAGTAGAAAACCATACTCTGGCAATCCTGCAGGAACTCACAAAGAAAGCGCATTGGTAGCAAGAATGGCACAATAAAATATGTTCAAGCAACATAAAGAAATAGAGAGAGGTGGTACAGTAGGGGAATGATTATTGATTAGACATACTTTGCCTCTTAGAACAAGTTCTCCATGTTGGCATCCTTTTGGTATATGAGAACACCATAATTTCAAAGCACAAAATGGTTTTTGCCAAATACAATGACACATGTAGATTGTTAAAAGTTAATAAATGAAAAATGAATCTCTATATAGTGGACCAAAAAGAAAAGGTCAAATTATCTTATATCAAATGACAAATTCAAGTCAGGTTTTACACATTAACAGGCCCAACTCTTGACAAGACTGCGGCTCATGTCCAATGACATTCAAAGATTTAGTACTTACATTTGTATAACTAGACAACCTCCTCTAATAAAGAAAGATTTAAACACTTTTTTTTCTTTTTTCTTTTCTTGTTTTCCTTTCAGTAACTCTCACCAAAGTGAAATGCACAAATAAATAAAAGAGTTGCATAAAACCAAGAGAATTACTTTCACTTGAACCATCCCTGACAATGTAGGCACCTCAACTTCACCACCAAGAATTGCCTGTAAGAGATCCAAACATTCATTACAGATAGAAATATTTGGATTCTGTTAGCTAATCTATAAGATTATTTGGCAACGAAAAGCTATATTCAAAAGGAAGCAGGCTTGGACACTCAGAAATCAACGAAGATATCTCCACTGAAAGGGATAATATACAATAAAAGCCAAATAAATGACCAGGGTAAGACAAATGGCATCAGGAAACAAAGAACAAATATAAGTAAAGAGAAAATAAGATTCCAGCATCAAATATTTTGAATGTAGGTGAAATATCAGATCTGGTCCAACTATATGGAACATAGTCAAGTGCAGTAATTATTTTGCATAGCCCAGGTTCTTACCTGAGTAAGGCCAATATTAGAATTGACATAAACATCTGTACCATCTCTAGAAAAGACAGGATCATCTGTAACCTAGATTATAAAAGCAAAGTTCAGAAGCAAGAATGATATATAAATCGACCATCAAATAGTAATTAGTTTTTTACCTCTCTGTTACCCAATTTGGCAACCTCAAATCAAGTTTCAAAAATGATCATATTCTAGTTTCATGAAAAGGTATTATGTATCCCAGCTCAAAGAAAAAGTAGATCAACAAAACTGATAAGCAAAAATTTTCAAAACCATAAATGAATCTACAGTTGCACATAACTTACTTTCAGTAATGCGCTTCTTAAATATACAAGGCAATAGAAGGAACTACATCTTTATCCTAATAAACAAGTTACCAGGTTGATTTCCCTATCGCTTAATATTACCAGCTTCTGGTATACGTATTGTATCTCCAGAATCCACACCTAATCATTTTATAGAAAAATACAAAGGAGTCAATAAAATTAATGCTGCAATCTTAAGCTATATATTCTTTGTGACAGTCAAGTAGCCACCTATGCAGACAAAGGTTACATCCTAGAACTAGTTTGATATTTCATGCATCCATGCAAAATGCAGAAACTAAAAGTAATACTTTCATAAAGATGGGTAAATTACCTAAAACTGTATTACTAACGAAGCATTGCAATAAAAAATTAGGAAAAGGAAACGGGAAAATAAAAAAAAATTGAAAAAGAGAGAGAAATAACACTCTAAGATCTGAAAAACCAACCATAGGAGGGGAGAGAAAAAAAAGAGCTACGAATTTGATCTCAAGGCTATATGATAAACCATATGAGGAATTCCTATGAAACCCTTTCTTTATATAAACTGCTAAAAATCAAAGCTACGTCTCAAATCTTCTGAACTTGAAAAAGTTTTTTGTCAAAGAAAAGCAGCTAATATGTACTTGCAGGTATTGTAACTTTAACTTCCTTAACACCTTCAACAACCCCAGATCCTTGGCATGATATACAGTATTCCTGAATCATATATGTAAAACCATGTTAATTGTTAATATGATATACAAGTAAAAGAAAATTATGGTTTTATTGAAAATGAAACCAGACCTTGATTATTCGTCCCAATCCGTTACAAGTGTTGCATGTTGATGTAAAAGGAGAAATTGTAACCTTGTTAAGAGTTAAAGAGTCAATAAAGTATAGTAAATAAAAGGTAACATGTATTCTCTTCAAAAAAGTGAACCCGTTTGGGAGGATTTATAAACTCACAGTCTCTTTGCCTCTGCAAATTGGACAAACTTTAACTTTGGCATTTGGTGGATAGCCACACCCATCTGCATTAAGAAATAAACAAGGCATGAGAAAACTACATATATAAAAACCGGAGGAAGAAATCCTTCCCAAAAATGGAAAGATTAGAGAAATACATTTAACATAATGCTATAAAATATTAGTAACAAGAATACAGAATAATTTTGGACAAACATAAATTACGAAGTACAAGGGCATTAATGCATGTAATTTACTATATTTGTGCTTGTAAGATTCTTGAATGTGTCATAATTCAAGCAATCTTTTTACTCCACTTACCACAAGAATCACAAGGAACAAATGCATCAAAACATAGATCCTTTGTGCATCCTTTAGCAGCTTCATAAAAAGAGAGCAAGAGCTCAGTCTAAAAAATTCCAGACAGAACATATTATAACTTAAAGAAGTAAAGCATGAAACTAATAGAAAATTCAGGAGAGAAAATGTGTTGACCTGAATATCTGGTGAAGTCTGATCATTTCTCATCATTTCTGCCATTGAAACGAATGGTGCCAGAAGATTACAAATCACATAAGCTAAGGTACAAAGGGAAGCAACAAAGAGACAAAACTTCAGATAAAAGTTACAAATCACAGAAGCTAAAACATGCTGAGGAGAAGAGCATAAAATCACCTGTCTAGATCTTCCTCCATCTAGTTTCTGTAGTTTGAATGCTTAATTTTCTAGAGCAACAAAGGGAAGCGGGAAATGATGAAAATAAAGGGGGGGAATTAAAATACGACTTTTACAGATGACACACAATTAAAATTGTACTCCGTGTTTTTACAAATTTTTTGGATTATGACTATTAAATACGACACACATTATTGTAAGCCATAAATCGTTCATATTTTAAGAAACATGACATTTTTTATGACACACCTATTTTGCAAGTCATAAATTAGCGTGTGTCATCGTTCATGTGTCATTAAAGGTATATTTTCTTGTAGTGAATCCGAGACTAAATATGAACCTGAGAAAAATTAAAAAAAAATTAAATCAAATACTTTAAAATAAAAGAGAATTATAAAAGGAAATAACATACTCTTATTGTATTTGATCTTGTGATCGGAATAAGGTGAGGCTTGTCGCTACACAGATTCCTTAAGACAAATTTTCGATTACTCCTTAGTGCTCGAGATCTCTTGGTCGTCTGTCTTACAGGATACAACAACTTGATGATCAACTACAGTAGCACAACAGTAGAAATCACAAACTGTCCTTGTCTTCGATTATCATCGAAAAACTAAGGGAGAAAAAGAATATTTTATGAGAATGGGAGAAAATATATTTCAAGAGAAAAAAAACTTCTTGAATTTTGAGATGTGAAAACCCTAATAGGTTTGCTTAGTATTTATATGGGATTTTCAAGAGTATTTTACTCCAACTAAACATCTTTTAATATCTAAATTTAAAAATATAATAATATATTTTAAATTTAAAATATTAAATAGCGTGCCCAGCTTACATCAAAGCGATGTGGGATAATTTGTACAAATATACCAAGACAAATATGCCTTTGTTGTGGCTTCAATTGCTTGAATAGTCCATTTCCATTTTAATGCTTTGATTTGATCTACTTGGCTTTTATCTCACCTTTGGACAGTGATGAATCCAGGGAATATTGGGGAAATTATATTCTTCAAAAAAATCTCAAATTTTTATATAACTTGCATTCTTAAAATTTTATTGTTTTATATTTTTAAATCTTTAGTATAATTTTATAAAAGTTTATACCTTTAAAATAAAATTACTTATTCATTAACACTCATTTTATTATTCAAATTAAATAAATATTATTTTATTTTGAAATATACAAAAGTATATAATTATCTTTAATATTCAAAGTTAAAAAGATAACACATACTTTATTAAATTGACATATTTAAAGAGTAATTATCTTACTAATATTCAAATTAAATAATATATATTTTAATTTACAATATTAAAAGGACTCTAAATTTAATATAAATATTAAATTCATCAAAGTAACTAATATCTTCTATTTCCTGTTCTGAAGTCAGAGTCCTATTTGAAAGTCCTACAATGCATCTAAGTCATACAAGCAAAAACAAGCATAAACACGTTTAAACATAGTCAATTTATTTTGAGATATTGCAATGGAAAGGAACATTCAAATTTACCAATTCAACATGTGCATGCATACTACTAACATAACTTAATCTATTTGACCATAATAAGCTAGCTAACATGCATAATTACTTAACACATACTTAACATGAAATCATAGGTAAGCACACTTCTTAAAACTCAATTAACTAAAAATTATCCAAGGCGGAAATAATATGCTGGTAATAATTCAACAATCATGCCACTGAGAACAATGGACTGTAGAAAGCTTTTAGTAATCTGTTAAAAGCCCTTTGTTTTGTTGTCTGGTACGCAGATTACATAAGAAACTAATAAAAGATTTCTTAATAGCAGAAGCTGTAATTGAAGCAAACATTGTATGGAAAGGTACAAAGTCAAGGAAAGCATTACACAAACACAAAACAGCTTGAGAAACTCAAGTACTTAGGTCTAGCCGTTTAAGACCATTGTTATTTTGTTTGGTGATAAAACAATACGAAGCCCATGTTTGCGATACAACACATAAGCTAAAGTCTGGGTGTTATATAATCGGAGCAATTGCTGCTTCTGGGAACTTGAAACTTGACGTACTTTGATATTATTGCAGCAAGCCTTTTTATATCTTCCGATGTGTGTACAGCAGTGAGAGTCAACCGTAACCTGAATGAAAAATAAATAAGTAAAGATTATATATGTGAATAATTTATGCGGTGGTAAGGTTTTCGGACCTTGCTGTATTCGGAGCGACTGCTGGTGGTCCGACAGCCACGCAATAGAAACCGGATTTAAGCAATTCACTGAGTATATATAATCAATGGCATATCAGAGGAAGGTGTAGAATGAAGAGAGAAGATATGAAACAGAGGTGAGAGATAAGAGAATGAGAAAGAAAACAAACTGGTTGGTTTTAATAGCCTGCATCATATCTCCAATAATGACGCATACTATCTGGCTTTTGACTGGGATTCCAGTGAGAGCTTGCAACTCCTTCATTCGGTTCTGGATTTCCCTTCTACGCCATGTTTCTTTCTTTGCAACCACCACCGATGCATAAGAGGCAGCAGCTAAGGGAACAGGTGCAATTGTTGAAAATATGAAAGAGCGACCCCTTGATTGGATCCATTGTTTCCAGATTTTGCTGTAGATTTATTATTCGGAGATGATAAACTTGTATGATGCACTTTAAACATATATATAAGCTAAAGCCATTAATTACCTGCAAGTTACGAACCCTCCCAGAGAAGATGCTGCCTTACTCAATGTGCCAATGGATATGTCCACATCGTACTCACAGTTGAATTCCTCAGCTAGTCCCCCTCCATTCTTCCCCCAAACAAATGTTCCGTGAGCCTGAAAAAGTACAACATTGACCCACAAAGTTATAATCAATGGATTCTTATAATTGAATAAGGAAGGACTTACATCATCAAGGACCCACAAAAACCCATGCTTCTTGCGAAGCTGAGCCAGCTCAGCCATGGGTGCAATATCTCCATCCATACTGAACAAGCTGTTAATAGAAGATAGATTTAGCAAGATGTTGTTTCGTCGTACCAGAAGACAGATAAACATAAACTAAAACTGAAAGAAGAAACGACCGGCTTACCTATCAGTCACCACCACTTTTCTCGTATTTTTACAGTTTGTTCTGTGAAATTTTCATCTGTTAGATTAGATGGTAGTAGTAATAACATTTTAATGATCCAAAGAAATCATGTTAACACATAAAACAACGTACAGGAGTGCATCGAGATGAGACATGTCACAGTGTTTATACATAAATAATTCAACTCCTCCAAGTCGATCAGCGAGTTTAAGGCCATCAACAATGGAGGCATGGTTAAGTGCATCAGAGAATACGGAAACCTTTTCTTCCTTTGTTGGCCTCCTTCCTTCACATAACACCGGCACAATACTTCCGATTGCAACCATCACCGCCATATTGGCTCCAAAGCCTGATGTGCAAAGAAGGCAAGCCTACAATCCCAAATATACTAATGAATGAAGCCATTGAATTTGAATGTTCAAGAAATTATAGGAAAAAGTAGTGTGATATGATATGATATACCTCTTTCTTCTTTAACTTCGCCAAGCTGGATTCCAGTGCCATGTGATAATTGGTATATCCACAGATGAGTGGAGATCCCCTTGGACCAGTTCCCTGTTCCACCGCTGCCTGTTGAAGTTGAAAAATCATTCATTGATGTACGATATGAATTTCAACATTATACTCCAAATTCTTTAAAAAAAACCTTGGCAGTTGCTTTTGCAATGGTGGGATGCCTACTCAAACCCAAGAAATCATTTCCAGCGAATAGAATAAGCTTCTTGTACTCCGTCTCCTGGTTTGAACATATTCTTTCATTTTCTTGGAGTTCATATTTGCTGACAAGCTCAACTCCTGCATGCGCATACATTACATGTACCTAAAATCATATATTAAATTAAGCGTGAATGTTAGAACACATACCATTCAATAATCGTTGGAAGAAAGAATGTGGGAGTTCAATTTGAGCAGCAAGTCGATCCCAAGGCTGAATCTCATCGTATGTTTGATATTCATCTTCATCGAACTTGGTTTGAGCTCCTTCTCCTTCTCCTGCTCCTTCTCCTGCAATGGGTATATTCATGGGCCTTAGAGGCGTAAACATATTGCGAGACTCCAGCTTTGGAAGTGCTTCTTCAATGTACATGTTCCACGAGCTCTTCATCTTCCCCGTTGAATCCATTTCAGTTTGAATCACAAATATTATCTTTTACTACTTGCGAATTTGCAGTTTGTATAACAAAAACTTTGCTTGCCTTTTGCCTCATCTATTCGATTTATATTTATACTGCAATTCCCTACCAAATTGCTATACTCTAATCAATCGAATCTGATTTTTTATTTCATCTTACTTTCCACGTTGTTGCATGATAAGTGCTTAATTTAGTTAATATTTTACTTTTAAATTATTTCTTAATCATTGGTTTTTGTGACTTATTTGTTCGTTTTGATTTACTTTCTGTGCAGGACGCCAGATTCTGGAAATTAAACTAAAAGGAAAGAATTTTGCAATTATTTTATTTTATTTTCAGAATCAAAGATGGATTAGTGGACATGAATTCGAGCATGAAACATCCGACGAGGTGATGACGTCAGCACCTTCTAGAATATTCAGTCAACTTTTCTAGAAACACGAATGGATTGGCTGAACGTTTCTGCAATTCAGATTTGGATTGAACTCAAGTTTTAGGATAATATTTTAAACATTATATTTTATCTTTTTTTTACGTATTTTAGTTTAAATAGATGTTAGTATTTCAATTAGGATTTAGGATATTATTTTAAATAGTATTTTATCTTATCTTTGTTTTAGAAATTTTAGATTAAATAGTTTTAAGTGTTTTAATTAGGATTTAAGATATTATTTTAAGGAATTATCTTTAGTTTGTTTTTAGGAATTTGAAGGCTATTAATACCCTCTTAGGGTAAGCCTAGAAACATATCTCTCACTTCTCAGAATTAAATTAATTTTCTTTTTCTCTCTAGCTTTTGCATATCTCTTTATTTTCTTTTAGAATTTCGTTTTCAAAGATGCTAACTATGACTTGGTCATGCTTAGCTAATTTTCTTTCAAGCTGAAGACTAAAGCGAATGCTCAATTCAAACGTGAGAATTGTAAGGTACTTAAATCGCTTCGGATTTTTCTCTTTGTTTTATGGGTTTACTTTTCAAATCAAAACGAATTTCAAAACCAAAAGTCAACGTTGGTCTGGATGTTGTTATGATTAACGTTCGAAGAAGGATTTTCTTATTGAACTACATTCGACTTCCGAGAACAAACTTAGCAAAATTATTTGCTAAGAGGAAACTGAGATCGAAATCAGTTATTGTTGAAACAACATAATCTGAGTCGGTAGTGAAGAATTGTTCTTGTAGTAGCCGACGTGAATCTTGAAGTAAAGATCTTTTTCGATGATCCGAGGAATTTGAGGCAAAGTTGAAGTCTTAGACTGCTTTTACCATAAGTTTTCTTTATCTCTATCTCTTTTATTTATTTTTAATCTTTTTCTTTGTATTTCTTTAAATAATTTAAAACCCCTTTTTATCTTTATTATTATCTTTAAAATTATTTTTTATTATATTTTATTATTTTTAAATTATAATTAATTACTTTATTTTATCTTTTCAACTTTATCTGGAATTTTATATTCTTCTAAATCAAGAAAGAGTTTTACTAAATCAGAAATACTACAGTCCCATTGGATCGACCCTGCTTCTCTATACTACTTTCCCTTTTTATTTATTAAGAAGTCAAAATTATTTTTTATAGCAAAATGACGGTTATCAAATTGATGTCGTTATCGGGGACTAACGGCAAGTGCTGATTTATTTTTCTAGTTTTTATTTACGACCATAAGAAACCCATGTGAATTTGCAAATCTAGACCCGGAGATCAAAGCACGAGCACGAAGAATCCATGCACAAATGCTTCAAGAAAAAAAAAATAAAAAGACAAGAAGAATAAGAGCAGAGTTTTGAAACAGAATCAAACCCAAAAATAAACTCTGAAGCAGGAACATACAACGAAGATCAAATCTCAATGGTAGAAGAAGAATAAATGATCTGAGAGCTAGTCGCAACTCCTGTCACTCAGACGCCATTATGCATTAATTTTCCTAGTGGCGGGACTCCGTTTCAATTAAAGACGAGACTTATTCATCTTCTTCCCACCTTCCACAGCTTTCCCACTAAAGATCCGCACAAACACTTGTTGGAGTTCTACGTGGTTTGCACTAGCATGAAACCACAGGGAGTTACTGAGGATCAAATTAAATTGAAAACTTTCCCTTTCTCTTTAGTCGACTTGGCTAAATATTGGTTATTTTATTTACATCCAAATTCAATTAATTCATGGGCTAACATGAGTTGAATATTTCTTCACAGGTTCTTCCCAGCGGCTAAAGCTAGCGAGTTACGAATGAGCATTCTTTCCATTCAGCAAAAGAGCGAAGAAAGTCTTTATGACTATTGGGAACGGTTTAAAAAGCTTTGCACACGTTGTCTGCAACATGAATTAAGTGAGAAAATGTTAATTTAATACTTTTATGAAGGCCTTTTAACAATGAAAATGAAAATGATAGATGCCTCCAGTGGAGGAGCATTAGTCAATATGACCCCAACAACAGTGAGGGAATTGAGTTCAACAATGGAAGCCAACTCTCAACAATTTTCAAGTGACCCCAACCAACGGATTCACGAGATAAGTACATTTTCTCTTGAAAATAAGTTAGACAAATTGACTAAAGTAGTTAATTCACTTGTTGCAGGAAAATCTGGAGCAACAAGAGCATGTGGGATATGCACGGAGCTAGACCATTCAACAGATTGATGCCCGGTGATACAAGAAGGAGGCAATGCAGAAATCAATGTCGTAGGAAACTTTCCAGGTCCTCTACAAATACAATACAATCCATATATCAATACTTATAATCTAGAATGGCGAGACCACCCAAACTTCAGTTATGCAACAAATCAAAAGCCAGCTTATCAGCCAAAACCTCCCCTCCAACAGTAAACACAAAATCCATAATTGGAATAAATCATAGGAAAGTTAGCAAATTCACAAGAAAATCTGGTTACATCTCAGGAAAGGCTAATTGCATCCCAGGAAAAATTTTGAAGCTGAACCGAGACACATCTTTAAGAGTTGTATAACCAAGTGAGCCGACTAACACATTTTCAAGAGTGTTTTACTCCAACTAAACATCTTTTAATATCTAAATTTAAACATATAATAATATATTTAAAATTTAAAATATTAAATAAATATACACTCATTTTATTATTCAAATTAAATAAATATTATATTAATTTGAAATATACAAAAGTATATAATTTGAAATATATTCAAAGTTAAAAAGATAACACATACTTTTTTAAATTGACATATTCAAAGAATAATTATCCTACTAATATTCAAATTAAATAATATATTTTAATTTACAATATTAAAAGGACTCTAAATTTAATATAAATATTAAATTCATCAAAGTAAATAATATCTTCTATTTCTTGTTCTGAAGTCAGAGTCCCATTTGAAAGTCCTACAATGCATCTAAATCATACAAGCAAAAACATGCATAAACACGTTTAAACATAGTCAATTTATTTTGAGATATTTCAATGGAAAGGAACATTCAAATTTACCAATTCAACATGTGCATGCATACTACTAACATAACTTAATCCATTTGACCATAATAAGCTAGCTAACATGCATAATTACTTAACACATACTTATCATGAAATCATAGGCAAGCACACTTCTTAATATTCAATTAACTAAAAATAATCCAAGGCGGAAATAATATGCTGGTAATAATTAAACAATCATGCCACTGAGAACAATGGACTGTAGAAATCTTTTAGTAATCTGTTAAAAGCCCTTTGTTTTGTTGTCTGATATTACATAAGAAACCTATAAAAGATTTCTTAATAGCAGAAGCTGTAATTGAAGCAATCATTGTATGGAAAGGTACAAACTCAAGGAAAGCATTACACAAACACAGAGCAGCTTGAGAAACTCAAGTACTTAGGTCTAGCCGTTTAAGACCATTGTTATTTTGTTTGGTGATAAAACAATACGAAGCCCATGTTTACGATACAACACATAAGCTAAAGTCTGGGACTTATATAATCGGAGCAATCACTGCTGCTGGGAACTTGAAACTTGACGTACTTTGATATTATTGAAACAAGCCTTTTTATATCTTCCGATGTGTGTACAGCAGTGAGAGTCAACCGTAACCTGAATGAAAAATAAATAAAATTATATATGTGAATAATTTATGCGGTGGTAAGGTTTTCGGACCTTGCTGTATTCGGAGCGACTGCTGGTGGTCCGACAGCCACGCAATAGAAACCGGATTTAAGCAATTCACTGAGTACATATAATCAAAGGTGCACGAAGGCCACAAAGATCACCACCGAGGACGGCAACACATGCACCCAAGAATGCCGCCTTCCCTCCATCATTCGGTCGTTCCTCATTCCACCGTTAAGCTGCCGGACCGATTAGGTTGTTCATTCTGTTAATTCGGTGGCCGACCGAACCGAATTACAATTAACCGAATTAACCGAATTTTTTTCTTTAACCGTTAATCGAACAGAACTCTTTTTCGAAAATTTAATATATAATTAAATAATATATAAGTATAAAATAAAAAATTTATATAAATTTTTTAATTAATTAATATTGATTTAGGTTTAAAAGTTGTTGGATCTTAAATTATTAATTGGGTGTTAAATGGTTTGGTCTGAGTCCATATGTTATATATAACATATTTAATATTTTTTAATTCAAATAAAATTTACAATTAATTTAAATAATATATAATTATAAAATAAAAATTTTATATAAATTTTTTAATTAATTAATATTGATTTAGATTTAAAATTTATTGGATCTTAAATTATTAATTGGGTTTTAAATGGTTTGGGTTGAGCCCATATGTTATATATAATATATTTTATATTTCAAATTTAATTTCGGTTAATTAACCGAATTAACCTTTAAGCGAATTCTAAAAATTTTCTTAACCATTAATCGACCGAACTAATTCAGTGGCCTACTGAGTTAACCGAACTAATTCGGTTCGTTCGGTTAACCAAATTAGTTCGAAAATTTGAACACCCCTAGGACCGAGCACTTTACGACCGTCCAATCCTTCATCACCGACGAACCCAACGTTTTACTCCATCCTGTCGGGTTCGGGAACACGTTCAATGCCGAATTTCGAGTCTCTGCCGTTTTCTACACTTGAACAACCCGAGGTAAATTCCGAACCTGTCGATAT